CCAGTCAAAACAGAAAGCGCTAAACCAGAATGTGTTACTTCAATGGGTTGGTTAACAGAGGGTTAGGCAAAAATCCTAGTTAGGAAAATATATCTATTTATTCAACATAACACTATATACACACTCTAGAAACACTTTAATCCTAAATGCCCAAATGACGGTACAAAAAGAAACAGCTGACTGGAGGTCCAGCCACCATAACCACCAGGTTGAGTGAGCATCAGGCCGTCACTACTCCCCTACCAAACATTTCTTATTTCCTCACTCCTCCCACAGCACTCTGACCATGTCAGAGCCTAGGTGAGCATACAGGTATGCCAAAGAAGAGCCTATGGCTAGAGTTAGCTAAACAAACAGCATCTTCGATGTCAGCCTCCATGCCATGCTGACTCTATGTGACTGCCCCAAGCCAAACTTACCCCGCATACCCAAACAGTTGGTAAATAAATCCCTAGCAGGATTTCTTTATAATTATAGTTTAACCTACTTTACAGTACCCCCAAAAGCACATTATGAATTATAAAATTATGCTTTACAATTATAACATTCATACTATTATGACACCCTTCTCTACTGTATATACATTACAATGTCATGTAGAACCCTGCATAACAACATTACAATGTCATGCAGAACCCTGCATAACACCCCCACCCCCAGACCATAGGTCTCACTCTGCTAGTGGGGTCCCTACGGACACCGCTAGGCAAAAGGAAAAAGAAAGAAAATAAATCCCACATTAAGGTCTGAGGCAATGGGCAAAAATGATAACTGGGGAATGACCACCATACAATCATGGTCTTTTGGTACTACAAATATGTACTAGACTGTTGACATGTGAAACTTGCCGAACATAAAAGTGATCAAGTTCTATGCCAAACGAGCCCACAGTCCCGCTCTTAGACAATTGTGTTAGGAAAAGGCACCATCACAACACAGCGCTGACCAGGCATCGGCGTTGATGCATTTTGCCTAAATTACATCAAGCAAACTTATAAATGAGCAAGTTAACTTTGTACAAAAGTGCCCCTGAGGAATGCTGCTTTATGAAGTAACACCAAAGTTCAGTATGTTGCAAGGCAGACCAAACTGTAGGTGCCACCAAAAAAAAACTTTTAAACAGTAAGTACATTTTCCAGGAGGAGTTCAAAGAAAAGGAAAACAGATTTTACATGTTAAATTCTACTTAGAAATCAACATCACGTTATCACTCCCATCTCACAGCAATTTTTAGTAAACAAAACTGGTTCCCCATGACACACCTCTGCGAGAATCAGGAGAGCACAGGAGAGAGAAAAATATCAGGTCTCAAAAACAACAGGTGGATAATCGCATAAATCTTGTTGGTGGGACTGTGGCCGTAAAACCTTGGAGTCATCACTGAAGACCCCCAAAAGGTGAAACTCCCAGGCTGACACCTACATGTCATTCCAAGGACCCTGGAGTCACCCCAGCGGTGATCCACAAAGAAGAAAAAAAAATTTAAAAGGTCCTGGAGAACCAAAACACCTTGGATCAAGAGACATGACCCAAACAGTGGGGGGGGGGATCACCGCCAACCCCACATTCAATAAAAATTGCAGGTCCAACAGTCCCTACACCAACATAAAATGGAGGCGAGGCATCCCAGCCAACACCTAAAAAGCGTAGCATACCTTACCTAGGCATGGCACTTGATGTGACTACCCCCAAAACACACACACACTAGGGAATCCTGATACCTCCAGCTCCAGCTCAACCTGCCCTTCTCCTTTGGGTGGTCTAGGGTTCCATCTACTGTCTACCGCAAATCACTGCAAAATAAGAATAGATAAGTGATCTATACACTACATCGTGCACTTTAAACACGAGACAAGGCATCAGCAACCACATTCTCCACTCTCTTCACATAATGAATCACAAGATTAAGAGGTTGGAGAAACAAGGCCCACCTCGTAAGTCGCTGATTGTGGTTCCTCATTAAGTGAAGGAAATGTAAAGGATTATGGTCACTATACACAGTTATAGGGTGAACTGATGATATATACCCCTCAAAATGTTGCACTGCCAACACTATGGTGGTATAACTTCTTTGGTTCCTGTTACTTTTTGCCAAGAAGCAGCTGAGTGGCATTACTTGCCCTGCTCTACCCTGCAACAAGACTTCCCCAACCCCTGTATCATTTTGCAAAACCCGGGGTGTGTAACTCATGATTATACATAAAAGATCTTAAGGGTTAATGGCATACAAAAGGTTCATGTACAGAGATATTAAAGTTACAAATATGGGTGTGTCCTTGGCACACATGGTCATGGGAATCAGATGACCTCCCTCCCCCATGGTTCATTCACACAATTTGCATGTAGTTCATAAAGAGGAGACAAAACCTTATTTCTTAAATGTACCTGGCGGCAGTCAGTGCACGTTTTCAAGGTATCACCTAGAGTGAGACCAGTAAAAGACAACGTCCACCGACTCTCGCTGGATACAAACACAGTTTCTAGAAATAAACACTTCACTTCCTTCAAGGAACCTATTTCACCCCAGCTTACATCATGCCAGGCCTGCTGACATTGCACAAATTCCGAAACCTCTACCTCATGGGGGTTAACATTGCAACATTTTTCAGCCTCCCAAAACTCTTTCACTAAGGTGCACCATGGCTGAGCCACCACTACAACCCGTCTTTCAGAAGATCCAAAACTTCCACAATCTCTTACAATTTTCCTGCTTACATTAATTTTCTCAGAGACCTTGTCCACCATCATTTAGAAGCCACCACACAGTTCCATCATAGCCTTCCCGTGACCCGGCTCCAATGCCAATCCCATCTCTCCAGCTTCCAGAATATGTAGCACCACCTCATGGTCCCACGTCATCCTGAGCAGACTGGCAGGCTGGTGCACTAGTGCCATAGACCTCATCTTAGCCAAGCGGTTTCTGAAACTGAGAAAAAAACACCGCGGGAGAAACATCACCATCCTCAAGTAGCCCATGACTTAATGATTCCAGTGTGCTTCCCCACACTGTAATGAAAAGGAGGGGAATTCCCTCCTCCCAGTCCTTCTAGTACTGGGTAAAACAAACATGCATTGCCCTGAGAGACTGGGAAAACCACTGTGCTTTTCTTTGACTCCTAGGATGATATACAACGGTAAATTTAACCTCAAGTAGGCCTCTCAAAACTACATGACATTTCATAAAATATGACTTCTGGGTGATTTGTGCAAGGCCTAAAAGACAAAAATGTTTCACCAGAAATCTCAAAAGCCACACACAAAATTATTCAGAAAGGGTATGTTCACTGGTAACCTGTTAGAAGAAGTTATTAATAAACACTGGTTAGTCAGCCCTCCCTTCTTAACACTTAAAAGTTGTTCCTTCGGAATCTGTAAAAAATACAGACAGTGACACTTTAATAGTTCTGCCGCGGCCACTTGGACACAGGTCCCCTTGAAAAGAGTCTTGCTCATTTGATCAACTCTGCAAAATAAACATTTGGTAAATTTAGGAACCACATCCTCCGCAACAGCTGACAAGTGAATAGCGTTCCGGAGGTCACAGCCTTCCTGGGTCTCACTCAGTTGCTGCAGAGTCAGGGGATCTTTTCCCACATCAGCACCAAGACCACTTCTCCAACCGGGTTCCAGTTGAGCCGGTTCATCACGCAGGTGCATTTTAGATTTTTAGATTTTGCCACCGAAGTGGCTAGTTTATTGTGCACCCCATATCCATCCTGTGGACGGTAGCGCAAGAGCATATGGATACACAAAAGGCCCAGGAACTAGGCCCCAAGGGGTTAACATGAATACATATGGATTTATATCTACATATCTATAGTTCACTTATCTGTTACAAACAAATTTAGGAAATTTGCTTAGTATATCTGGTATCTTATTTTCATTAATAAGATATCTTGACATGTCACATAGGTTATTATACTGTCTATCTCTGTATTCCTCAATAAGTGGACAATTAAGCACATAGTGTTCAAGAGAGTGACCATATGCCTGATCACATAATTTACATTTAGTTTGATCATCATCTGTGTGTCTCCCAAACTGCCAGAAGTACTTGTAACCAAGCCTAAGCCTGGCCACTACAACAACAGTCAGTGTTCACATTGCAAGTTGCTCCATAAACATACTTATCTACGTTCATGTTATCATAGTGGGTTATAGATCTACTCAGGCTTCTAATTGCGTTCCTATAACAATAATTTTCATTATTTACTTCTCTCCTAATATTATTCCTAATGCAGACACAGTTATACCAAAGTTATATTCTACATTCTCCTTCTGGGTACTCTTCTTGGCTAACATATCAACTTTATCATGAAGGAGTAATCCAGTGTGTGATGGGATCCATAGCAACTGTACATTAATTCCTTTGTCCCTGATTTTTGAGTATCTATACCTGGCTTCTCCAATGAGCATGTTATTGGAGTCATTATATGAGTCAAGAGCCTTCAATGATGACAAAGAATCAGTAATGATGATAGAGTCAAGCTCGGTGTTATAGGTTAGCTTTAGCGCCATTAGGATATTGGTCTGTCTAAGATAACATGTGAGTGCCTCTTCAGTTTGTCTTTAAAATTGGTGTTTGTTAGTTGAAGACTTGAATCAGCATATAGCTGTGGATGTCTTAATTTATTGTTCATATTGAAGAAATTGGGTTACTGGCGTCTGTATGATAACTTGTGAATACCAAATTTGATTTGCTTCATATCTTCATCGCTAATACTTATCTGCATTGGAGACTTGTGGTGTGCTCTGCATTAATGGTCTGTCGTGCACTAAGGTACAGGGGCTCGGACTAGGCAACATAGGGCTGGACACCTTTCTTTGATCCTGCAGCATGTGATATGCATCTCGTTGCTTTTATAATTATGGGGGAGCACTAAAGCCATAGGTTATCAGGTTTTATCAGAGGTTGCAAGGTAGGAGAGCTATAAGGAGGATAACCTGACATTGTTGATATATTTCTTATTTCAGTAATGTCAACTGTTTTCTCTCTACAGTCTGAGAGTTGGTCTCTGGTTGTCTCTCCCGGCTGCTTGGTTGATGTAGCCACCAGCCTTGCCACTCACCCCACAGTCGCCGCTACCCCCTCGCCGGCAACTACCCCTTCACCCACCGCTACACTCACATCGGATAATACCTCCTCCCCCACCACAACCCCCTCCTCCGCCACCGTCTTCTCCCCCGCCCCTCTCCCCGCCACAACCTCCTCACCAACCCTCTGGACCTCCACTGACCTCTCGCCCTCCACTGACCTCTCGCCCTCCACTGACCTCTCGCCCTCCACTTCCACCTCGACCACCAGTACCACCTCAGCCGCCATTACCCCTCCGACCACCACTACCCTTCGACTGCCACTACTCCCTCGTCCTTCACTGCCCTTCGTTCGCCACTACCCCGTCGTCAGTGCCCAGCCCTCCCCAGCCACTCCCCTCTGCTTGCCACTGCCCTTCGCTCGCCACTATCCTTCAGAACCTTTTCCTCACCGCTTCCACCGCCACCACTAACCTCAGACACTCTACCACAACACCACCACAATCACCAACATCACTGCTACTACTACTACCCCTTTACCACAGCACTAACACCACAACCACCATCACCACTGCTACCCCCCCTTACCACAACACTACTATCACCACCACCACATTCACCACCACAACCACTACTGCCCCTCTCTCACAGCGCTTCTGACTCTGCCATAACAATGCAAACGCCATAAACCACCACTTCATCACTTCTTCCCCAGTACTACAGCATTACTGACACCACTATTACAACCGCTACCACTAGCGCCAGTACAACCCCTTTACCACAGCTCCACTAACACTACCACAACGTAGTATCAACAGCCTTACCCACTTCCTCCATTTCACTACTAGTAACCAGTAGAAGCTGCCAACACCAGTAACAAGGCAGACAGCTTTTCTACCTGCACCACCATCACCACCCTTCCATACTAGCACCACCACCCATCATTACCATTAGCACCACAAGCAGCAGCACCACCACCGCTACACGCAGCAGCAGCAGCACCACCACTAGAAGCAGCAGCAGCACAACTAGAAGCAGCAGCAGCAGCAGCAGCAGCAGCAGCATTAGAAACAGCACCAGCAGCATCACTAGAAGCAGCAGCAGTAGCAGCAGCAGCATCACTAGAAGCAGCAGCAGCAGCAAAATCAACACAACATTACCACCACCAGGAACAGCAGCAACAGCAGACGCAAGATGGCTCTAAGTCGCCGTGTGAAGCTAGCATACGGTGTGGGTCATGTATTTAATGACCTGTGCGCCTCCATGTGGTTCACTTACCTACTAGTTTACCTCCAGTATGTGCTCCAGGTGAGAGATCTGCCATTATATACCTCATCTTGACAGATTTCATTACATAATGGATATATATGTGATCCTTTGTGATGAAATATGACATGTAAACATAGCCTCACCTCGCCTCCCTCTAAACATCAAGAGGACAGTTGGTCACTGAGAGTGTGTATCAGACTTGCTCAGTTAAACAACTCTTCCTTGATCATTTACTAGAATAACTACATTTCTTAACTTGTACACAAACTTAATATTGAAGCATTTATATACTTTTATATATAAATATTTACTTATTCATTAAGTGTGACTATTATTTCGGGTGATAATATACTATCAGTGTGGCGGTCACTCCCAGGATGAGTAGCGCTGACCAGTATAGCATCTCGGAGTAGAGTATAAGGGACTGACAGGTAAGGACCCACTAGAAGTGAGGGGTAAGTGGGGATAGTTGAAGAATAGATGGGGAGAGGAAAGAATTTAAGAAATAAGAAAGAGTCAGGGTTAGACCCAAAAATAAGGGCATTGTAAAGCTTTATATAAGGGCATATCGGGGTAATATCTGAAAATCTAATGCCATCTTCCTTGTCTTCACCACTTGGTCAGCTGGACCGAGGTCTTGCAGGGTTCCTGCTGTTGATGGGTCAAGTGGCGGACGCCGTGTCCACTCCCCTCATCGGGCTGCAAAGTGATCGTGGGTGCACCTTCTGCACCTATGGGAGGAGGAAGTCCTGGCACGCCATCGGTGAGTTTCGCGCTTGCTGTGTTATATACTAGTGTATATTGACGTGTTATCATGGCCTAAACCGCATCAATGATGTGTTTTACCAGTCTTTCTTATCCGCTCTCCACCACTATAGTAACGAAGTCATGTGACCCAACGCGACCTTTCTACCTTCCCCCACAGTGTGGTTTAAGGTTATTGAATCTAATTTTGTTAAAAAAGTGCACTTAATATTTTATAGGCTTATTGGTGGTGACAGTCATGTAAGAAAAAGAGACAAATACATCTTTCACTTCCATTTATATTGATCAGCCTATAAACAACCCCTTTTCATTCTTGCACCAATCCCTCATCCCATTCTTTAATCACTTCTTAACGTCAGTAGTGCAGCGTTCGGATCACGACCAACTCGATCTACGTGATTGCCGAGACGTGTGTGCGTCTCCTCACACATGCTGTCAATGTTCACCTATTAATTAACCGATACCCTGAAGTTAGTCGAGAGTTGTGGGTTACCTCCTGAGGAAGAAGTTAGTCAGTTATTGTGGGTTACCTCCTGAGGAAGAAGTTAGTCGGCTATTGTGGGTTACCTCCTGAGGAAGAAGTTAGTCAGTTATTGTGGGTTACCTCCTGAGGAAGAAGTTAGTCGGCTATTGTGGGTTACCTCCTGAGGAAGAAGTTAGTCGGCTATTGTGGGTTACCTCCTGAGGAAGAAGTTAGTCGGCTATTGTGGGTTACCTCCTGAGGAAGAAGTTAGTCGGCTATTGTGGGTCACCTCCTGAGGAAGAAGACGCCCAAAGATCCCACCGGAAATAAGCCACTCTGATTGCCATTAGTGGGTAACTCTGGGTTAAAACCCTCCTGCGTTAATCAGAATAAATTCTTCTTCCTACTCTACTTCCTCTAATGGAGTTTGTATCAGTCTAGCACTTCCTTGACGCTTCTCCAGGACTCTTGATCCAGTAAATTACAACTACCCTCCCCTGTCAAACTGATACTTAGGTATCATCTAAATCCATCGGTGACTTAATTATAATTAATATGAATGACCATAGTAATTGCTCTGACTCGGGCCATAGACTGATCGACGAACTAGTTCATCATTATCCACAAATCACTGAATTAATCACTTTTCCTTATCAATGTAATCTTATTAAAATTAAGAAATATAAATGAGAAGAGGTGAATACGGGATCAAAGAGGGCAGGAGGGCAGGAGGGCAGGCGGGCAGGAGGGCAGGCGGGCAGGAGGGCAGACGGGCAGGCGGGCAGGAGGGCAGGCGGGCAGGAAGGCAGAAGGGCAGGCGGGCAGGAGGGCAGGAGGGCAGGAGGGCAGGAGGGCAGGGTTATAGAAACATGATAATTATTTACTAAACACTTCAACTATTACTTTCTTTCACCTTAATAGCTAAAATGAATACTGTTCACAAATATCCCTATACCGAAATGCAACATTATTACTGGGAGACAGGAAGCCAAGAGATACATGTTTGCGCTCTTAGTTACAAAATAATCTCCCAGTCTCATACTAGAGTTGTAGCCCTTTACAGCCCTTTCCTGGTTCTCTGGCTCTTCCACTCTCTTGCCTTTACTGACTCTTCTAAACATTCTTTTGACTCACCCCAGCTATAAGTAACTAATCATATGAATCCTTGTACATACATCAGAGTATTAAACTTTGTGTCAGGATAAGGGTCTGCTACAAGCCTAAGACAGCACGTCTCAACAATAGAAGAAATAAAGGCAATACTTGGATCAGTATCTCTGAATAGCAGAGATACACTTAACATCAGCTTGATCCATCTTTATTATAATGCCCAGCAGATAACGGGACATAAGCACACTGAGCAACATCCTATAAAAATTATAAGGCTGATGCACTCAAACTTCTCGTCACGTTGATAAATTAAGACACATGTGCAACACTTGGGTATCTTTAATGAGGAAACGTTTCGCCACACAGTGACTTCATCCGTCCATGCAAAGGAGAATGACAGGCTGGATGAGGGGGCTGGAGCAGCTTCACATTCTTTCCTTGGATCAAATCTGATTGTCTCCCGTGTCTCTAGCACTGAATGGCTCCTGTTAAAATAACAATCTTATTAATTGTGAAGCAAAGACATACAGTGCCGGACACATTTCTGTTAGACAATAAAACTTTGTTAATCGCTGTGGTTGATAGTTTACTGTTGGGATCCTCTTCTGACCAACAGCTCCAATGGCGGGTCATCACTTACACCCTCATCACGAAACACTTGTCCTGTTTCCTGATAAATTTAAACTAACGTCATTGATCTCAATCATGCTAGGAACGTTGTGTGTGCTGTTCTCGTTCCCGTTCATCTTCATCGTGTGTGGAGTGTGCTTCGCTGTTCTTGGCTTCGGTTACGTTCTCCTCCTAGGCTTCATGATCTGCCTCTTCCAGGTGAGTTATACCTCAAATATCACAAACATATTCCTTAAAATCTGAATTAAGAATGTTAAAATTTAAAGTTTACTAAATAAATAATACCTAACAAATTATTATTATTAATACTGATATTAATTTTTCCTACTATTAACAATAATAATAATAATAATAATAATAATAATAATAATAATAAATAATAATAATAATAATAATAATAATTATTATTATTATTATTATTATTATTATATTATTATTATTATTATTATTATTATTTTAATTATATTATTATTATTATTATTATTATTATTATTATTATATTATCTCTGTGGCACAGTTCGGGTGGGCAGCAACACAAGTGTCCCACCTGGCACTTATACCCGACCTCACCAACGTGGAGGCCGAGAGAGACGAGCTCAATATCATAAGGTTAGTCGATCCTTCAAACTCACCAGCAAGGAACTTTACATATATATATATATATATATATATATTTATATATATATATATTTAATATATATATTATTATATATATATATATATATATATATATATATATATATATGCAAGGAATTCGCAAGAACAGGCGAAATATACACAGCCAGAGATCAGTGTCTATTTTTTTTTATTTTTTTTTTTATTATCACACTGGCCGATTCCCACCAAGGCAGGGTGGCCCGAAAAAGAAAAACTTTCACCATCATTCACTCCATCACTGTCTTGCCAGAAGGGTGCTTTACACTACAGTTTTTAAACTGCAACATTAACACCCCTCCTTCAGAGTGCAGGCACTGTACTTCCCATCTCCAGGACTCAAGTCCGGCCTGCCGGTTTCCCTGAATCCCTTCATAAATGTTACTTTGCTCACACTCCAACAGCACGTCAAGTATTAAAAACCATTTGTCTCCATTCACTCCTATCAAACACGCTCACGCATGCCTGCTGGAAGTCCAAGCCCCTCGCACACAAAACCTCCTTTACCCCCTCCCTCCAACCCTTCCTAGGCCGACCCCTACCCCGCCTTCCTTCCACTACAGACTGATACACTCTTGAAGTTATTCTGTTTCGCTCCATTCTCTCTACATGTCCGAACCACCTCAACAACCCTTCCTCAGCCCTCTGGACAACAGTTTTGGTAATCCCGCACCTCCTCCTAACTTCCAAACTACGAATTCTCTGCATTATATTCACACCACACATTGCCCTCAGACATGACATCTCCACTGCCTCCAGCCTTCTCCTCGCTGCAACATTCATCACCCATGCTTCACACCCATATAAGAGCGTTGGTAAAACTATACTCTCATACATTCCCCTCTTTGCCTCCAAGGACAAAGTTCTCTGTCTCCACAGACTCCTAAGTGCACCACTCACTCTTTTTCCCTCATCAATTCTATGATTCACCTCATCTTTCATAGACCCATCCGCTGACACGTCCACTCCCAAATATCTGAATACATTCACCTCCTCCATACTCTCTCCCTCCAATCTGATATTCAATCTTTCATCACCTAATCTTTTTGTTATCCTCATAACCTTACTCTTTCCTGTATTCACCTTTAATTTTCTTCTTTTGCACACCCTACCAAATTCAGTGTCTATATATATATATATATAGACACTGAATTTGGTAGGGTGTGCAAAAGAAGAAAATTAAAGGTGAATACAGGAAAGAGTAAGGTTATGAGGATAACAAAAAGATTAGGTGATGAAAGATTGAATATCAGATTGGAGGGAGAGAGTATGGAGGAGGTGAACGTATTCAGATATTTGGGAGTGGACGTGTCAGCGGATGGGTCTATGAAAGATGAGGTGAATCATAGAATTGATGAGGGAAAAAGAGTGAGTGGTGCACTTAGGAGTCTGTGGAGACAAAGAACTTTGTCCTTGGAGGCAAAGAGGGGAATGTATGAGAGTATAGTTTTACCAACGCTCTTATATGGGTGTGAAGCGTGGGTGATGAATGTTGCAGCGAGGAGAAGGCTGGAGGCAGTGGAGATGTCATGTCTGAGGGCAATGTGTGGTGTGAATATAATGCAGAGAATTCGTAGTTTGGAAGTTAGGAGGAGGTGCGGGATTACCAAAACTGTTGTCCAGAGGGCTGAGGAAGGGTTGTTGAGGTGGTTCGGACATGTAGAGAGAATGGAGCGAAACAGAATGACTTCAAGAGTGTATCAGTCTGTAGTGGAAGGAAGGCGGGGTAGGGGTCGGCCTAGGAAGGGTTGGAGGGAGGGGGTAAAGGAGGTTTTGTGTGCGAGGGGCTTGGACTTCCAGCAGGCATGCGTGAGCGTGTTTGATAGGAGTGAATGGAGACAAATGGTTTTTTAATACTTGACGTGCTGTTGGAGTGTGAGCAAAGTAACATTTATGAAGGGATTCAGGGAAACCGGCAGGCCGGACTTGAGTTCTGGAGATGGGAAGTACAGTGCCTGCACTCTGAAGGAGGGGTGTTAATGTTGCAGTTTAAAAACTGTAGTGTAAAGCACCCTTCTGGCAAGACAGTGATGGAGTGAATGATGGTGAAAGTTTTTCTTTTTCGGGCCACCCTGCCTTGGTGGGAATCGGCCGGTGTGATAATAAAAAAAAAAAAAATATATATATATATATATATATATATATATATATATATATATATATATATATATATATATATATATATATATATGTATATACATATATACATATATATATATGTCGTGCCGAATACGCAAAATTGGTCAGTTAGCAAGAACTCATTTAAAATTAAGTCCTTTCTAAAATTTTCTCTTCTACTTTTAAAGATATATATTTTTATTCATGTTAATGTAAAAATTAATAATTTTGTACCAAAAGAATCTTAGAAAACTTATCTAACCTTATTATATTATTATTATAATCAAGGGGGAGGCGCTAAACCCGGAGGATTATACAGCGCCTGGGGGGGGGGAGATGTGGAAGGCATTCAAGCTTAATTCGGGGAACTGTAGCACAGATCCAATTCCCTAAATCAAGAGCCCCTCACCAACATCAAGGAACCTTCCTTGAGGGGAACCTTATTATAACAAGTACAATTTAATTAAGCCTAATCCAACAAAATACATTTTAGATAAGTTTACAGTAATTTAATAATAAACAAACACATACGAATATAAGAGGGAAGGAACACTGCAGCAGGCCTGCTGGCCCATGTGAGGCAGGTCCAAGTCTCCCACCGGCTTAAGCCACTGCCCCAACCTAGTCAGGTCAGGTCACATTCGCTTAAGGAAGGAGCACGGCATCTGATCTAGTAGCACAAGCTAGTCAGGTCCAACTCACGCCCATTCATGTATTTATCTAACCTATTTTGAAAACTACACTACGTTTTAGCTTCTATGACGGTACTTGGGAGTTTGTTCCACTCATCCACAACTCTATTACCAAACCAGTACTTTCCTATATCCTTCCTGAATCTGAATTTTTCCAACTTAAAACCGTTACTGCGAATCCTGTATTGGCTAGATATTTTTATCACGCTATTTACATTCTCTTTATTTATTCCTGTTTTCCATTTATACACCTCAATCATATCCCCCCTAATTCTACGTCTTTCTAGAGAGTGCAGATTCAGGGCCCTCAGTGTGTGTGATGGGGAGGAGATAATGGAGGATGACAGCATATGTCACTTTCCCATGTTATTTCCTGTGTTCAACTTGTTGTTGGATGGGAGGTGGGGAGGGAGAAGGCAGGTCACGGGGTGCTTGTGATCTTTCATCAGGTCAATGATCAGAATCCCCTCCCTCAGTCTCACCAATCATACGTTCAATTATCCTGTCATCCTCATCACGTCCACCAACACCCTCCACTCCATCACGACATCCACCATCCCTCCATCACGTCCACCAACCCTCCATCACGACATCCACCATCCCTCCATCATGTCCACCATCCCTCCATCACGTCCACCATCCCTCCATCACGTCCACCAACCCTCCATCACGACATCCACCATCCCTCCATCACGTCCACCAACCCTCCATCACGACTGCCACCATCCCTCCATCACGTCCACCACCCTCCATCACGTCCACCACCCTCCATCACGTCCACCATCCCTCCATCACGTCCACCACCCTCCATCACGACTCACATCCTTCATCACGTCCACCATCCCTCCATCACGTCCACCATCCCTTCATCACGACTGCCACCATCCCTTCATCACGTCCACCATCCCTCCATCACGTCCACCATCCCTTCATCACGTCCACCAACCTTCATGCTTCAAGCATGGCGATCACCCCTTCATCACGCCCAGTCTTACACTCATGAAACTGAATATTCCTATTCAATGTAGTACGCCTGTCATCATCCCTCCTTACTCACATATACGCCTGTCACTAAGAAGATCAACGAGAATCCATTCCTTAGGACAGCAGTGCAAGAAACTGTTGGCCAGTGAGCACCATATTTACACTGATGGCTCAGTTCAGCGGACTATAAGCACTGCAGCAGCCTGCAAGATACACATAGGCAACAAATGCATTAAAGACTAGGAGCATCAGACTGTAGAATTGACTACAGTTCAACACTAAGAGTGTAGGACCCCAATGGAAATAAGTCACTCTGTCTGATTTTTTTGGGTTATCCCGGGTTCTCTACATATATGCTGCTATGTATGATAATTATGTAACTGTATTTGTGTATACCTGAATAAACTTACTTATTATAGAGTGGTAACTGCACTGAAGCTCGCCACCAACATATTAAAAAAAACGCAGGAGTATTCTTCTGTGATTGCAAGTCTGGTCCTCCACACTTGAGAACAATGGCGGCACACGGGGTGGCTTAAAACCCCAACATTTCCTTCAGTTCCCAAAGCCTCGGTTAGGAAAATCATCAGCTGTTTATCTTAGGTCGCTTTATGTTGGAAAAACTACAGCATGTGATTGTAGTGCTTTTTCTGTCTACGACTAACAAAACTTACCAGAGGAAAAACAATAGTTATAGCAACAAGTGATATTGAGATTATATTTGTTAATTCTAATATAGCCATTCTTCTTTTGTTATGGTTTCCAACCATAACAACAGAAGAGTGACACTGTGTAACTGTTTAATCGTCTTCGGCCTCTCACTTGAGAACTGAATGAATATATTATGTTCTTGCTATGTGTCATTACATTAATAAGGTCAAGGGGTGTATCATTATGTTGGTGACACTTACATAATGATGTAATTTATTTTAATTATTGTTCTTATTCTTTGAAATGGACGATTGTTTTCTCACTGTTAAATAAAATGCTATTAAAAAGATCTTTAGAAAACACTGTTATTATTACTGATCTGAAATATTCATTATTAAGTGAAAACATTTGATGGTTCTGCAGATGCAGTTCACTTACCCTTCGCTTCCAACCAGATAACCGTCCTTCAGCCCCCAGTACAGAAATTCTGGAACAGCCTCTGCTTGAGAATCCTGCTTAGTAAGCAACAGGCATT